AAGCAGTTTTAAGAGGGAAATTCATTTCTTGGAGTTCTTTCCTCAAAAAAAGAAAAAAACAACAAATAAATGAACTCACACTACACCTCAAAAACCTAGAAAAGGAAGAGCAAAACAACAGCAAATGTAGTAGAAGACAAGAAATAATTAAAATTAGAGCAGAAATCAACGAAATTGTAACAAAAAAAACCATTGAAAAAACTAAAAGTTGGTTCTTTGAAAAAATAAATAAGATCGACAGGCCCTTAGCCATGCTAACGAAGAGAAGAAGAGAGAGAACTCAAATTACTAACATACGGGATGAAAAAGGCAATATCACAACAGACACTACAGAAATACAGAAGATAATTAGAAAGTATTTTGAAACCCTATATTCCAATAAAATAGAAGATAATGAAGATATCGATAAATTTCTTAAGTCATACGATCTGCCCAGATTGAGTCAGGAAGACACACACAATTTAAACAGACCAATAACAAAGGAAGAAATAGAAGAAGCCATCAAAAGACTACCAACCAAAAAAAGCCCCTGGACCGGATGGGTATACAGCAGAGTTCTACAAAACCTTCAAAGAAGAATTAATACCAATACTTTTCAAGCTATTTCAAGAAATAGAAAAAGAAGGAGTTCTTCCAAATTCATTCTATGAGGCCAACATCACCCTGATCCCGAAACCAGACAAAGACACTTCAAAGAAAGAAAACTACAGACCAATATCTCTAATGAACTTGGATGCAAAAATTCTCAATAAAATCCTGGCGAATCGAATACAAAAGCATATCAAAAAAATTGTGCATCATGATCAAGTAGGATTCATGCCTGGGATACAAGGCTGGTTCAATATACGGAAATCAATAAATGTAATCCACCACATCAATAGACTTAAAGACAAGAACCATATGATCATCTCGATAGATGCAGAAAAAGCATTTGACAAAGTACAGCATCCCTTTATGTTCAAAACACTAGAAAAACTAGGGATAACAGGAACTTACCTCAACATGGTAAAAGCTATATATGCTAAACCTCAGGCTAGCATCATCCTAAATGGAGAAAAACTGAAGGCATTCTCTCTAAAATCTGGAACAAGACAGGGATGCCCTCTATCACCACTTCTATTCAATTTAGTTCTTGAAATACTAGCCAGAGCAATTAGACAGACAAAAGAAATTAAAGGCATAAAAATAGGAAAAGAAGAACTTAAATTATCGCTATTTGCGGATGACATGATAATATATTTAACAGACCCAAAAGGGTCTACAAAGAAACTGCTAGAGTTAATAAATGAATTCAGCAAAGTGGCAGGATATAAAATCAACACGCATAAATCAAAGGCATTCCTGTATATCAGCAACAAAACTTCTGAAATGGAAATGAGGAAAACCACTCCATTCACAATCTCCTCAAAGAAAATAAGATACTTGGGAATCAACCTAACAAAAGAGGTGAAAGATTTATACAATGAAAACTACAGAACCCTAAAGAGAGAGATAGAAGAAGATCTTAGAAGATGGAAAAATGTATCCTGTTCATGGATAGGCAGAACTAACATCATCAAAATGGCGATATTACCGAAAGTTCTCTACAGGTTTAATGCGATGCCAATCAAAATCCCAACAGCATTTCTTGTAGAAATAGATAAAGCAATCATGAAATTCATATGGAAAAACAAAAGACCCAGAATAGCAAAAGCAATTCTAAGCAGGAAGTGTGAATCTGGAGGTATAGCGATACCAGAGTTCAAATTGAACTACAAAGCAATAGTAACAAAAACAGCGTGGTACTGGTACCAAAACAGGCAGGTGTACCAATGGTACAGAATAGAGGACACAGAAACCAATCAACAAAAGTACAACTTTCTTATATTTGATAAAGGGGCTAAAAGCATGCAATGGAGGAAGGATAGCATCTTCAACAAATGGTGCTGGGAAAATTGGAAATCCATATGCAACAAAATGAAACTGAATCCCTTTCTCTCGCCATGCACAAAAGTTAACTCAAAATGGATCAAGGAGCTAGATATCAAATCAGAGACACGGCGTCTGATAGAAGAAAAAGTTGGCTATGATCTACATACTGTGGGGTCGGGCTCCAAATTCCTTAATAGGACGCCCATAGCCCAAGAGTTAATAACAAGAATAAACAAATGGGACTTACTTAAACTAAAAAGTGTTTTCTCAGCAAGAGAAACAATAAGAGAGGTAAATAGGGAGCCTACATCATGGGAACAAATTTTTACTCCTCACACTTCAGATAGAGCCCTAATATCCAGAGTATACAAAGAACTCAAAAAATTAAACAATAAGATAACAAATAACCCAATCAACAAATGGGCCAAGGACCTGAACAGACACTTCTCAGAGGAGGACATACAATCAATCAACAAGCACATGAAAAAATGCTCACCATCTCTAGCAGTCAGAGAAATGCAAATCAAAACCACCCTAAGATACCATCTCACTCCAGTAAGATTGGAAGCCATTATGAAGTCAAACAACAATAAGTGTTGGCGAGGATGTGGGGAAAAGGGTACACTTGTACACTGCTTGTGGGACTGCAAATTGGTTAGGTCAATTTGGAAAGCAGTATGGAGATTCCTGGGAAAGCTGGGAATGGATCCACCATTTGACCCAGCTATCGCCCTTCTCGGACTATTCCCTGAGGATCTTAAAAGAGCGCACTATAGGGATACTGCCACATCAATGATCATAGCGGCACAATTCACAATAGCTAGACTGTGGAACCAACCTAGATGCCCTTCAATAGATGAATGGATAAAAAAAAAGGTGGCATCTATACACAATGGAGTATTAAGCAGCACTAAAAAATGACAAAATCATAGAATTTGCAGGGAAATGGATGGCATTAGAACAGATTATGCTAAGCGAAGCTAGCCAATCCTTAAAAAACAAATGCCAAATGTCTTCTTTGATATAAAGAGAGCAACTAAGAACAGAACAGGGAGGAAGAGCATGAGGAAAAGATTAACACTAAACAGAGACGAGTGGGGGGAGAGAAAGGGAGAGAGAAGGGAAAGCATATGGAAATGGTAGGAGACCCTCAATGTTACACAAAATTACATATAAGAGGTTGTGAGGGGAAAGGGGGGGGAAACAAGGGAGAGAATTGAACAACAGCAGATGAGGTAGAGAGGGAAGATGGGAGGGGAGGGGAGGGGGGATATTAGGGGATAGGAAAGGTAGCAGAATACAACAGTCACTAATATGGCATTATGTAACAACGTGAGTGTGTAACTGATGTGATTCTGCAATTTGTATTTGGGGTAAAAATGGGAGTTCATAACCCAATTGAGTCAAATGTATGAAAGATGATATATCATGAGCTTTGTAATGTTTTGAACAACCAATAAAAAAAATAAAAAAATAAAACTTTAACACTTTAGGTTAGGCAAAGCTTTCTTAGACATGATACTAAAAGCACAAATGACAGTCAAAAAAATAAATAAATAAACTGGATTTCATCAAAATTTAAAACTTTGATGTTTCATATGATACCAAGCAAAAAAGTGAAAAGACAGAAAATGGGAGAAAATATTTACAAGTCATCTATTGCATTGGGGACTCATATCTAGAATGCATAAAGAATTCTTACAACTTAATAATAAAAAGAGAAATAACTCAATTTAAAAGTGGGTAAAGGCTAAGAACAGACGTTTTTTCAAAAGAGATAACAGTTTCTAATAAGCACATTGAAATATACTCAACATCAAGGAAATGAGAATCAAAACCATAATCAGATATCGCTTCACATATAGTAGAATGGATGTAATTTAAGAAGCTAGATAATAGCAAGTGTTGGCAAGGATGTAGAAAAAAGTAGAATTCTCATACATTGCTAATTTGAATACAAAATGTCCCATCCAACCTTAGAAAACATCCTTGTAGCTCCTCAAAATATAAAGCATGAAGTTACAAGATATTAAACATAAATTTACATCAATTGCAATTAACTGAGCATTTTTCTGCTCTCTGATCTACCTTATCTTCTATTCCTCTTCTTCTCTGGTCTCTTTAAACCCTGTAAGGGCCATAATACAGAGGATGATGTTGGATGAGTGAAACTGTCAGCTTATTCCTCTTAATTGCAGAAAACTCTAATTGGGGACAAATTAAAATCCAAATCAAATTTGTGGTTTTGATTATTACATAAGACTACTAAATATTTTAATTTCTTTTTCTTCTCCTCCTCCTCCTCCTCTTTCTTATTTATTTATCTGTTTATTTATTTATTTTTTGCTGTGATTGGGCTAGAACCCAGGGTCTCAAGCATGCTAGGCAAGTGTTTTACCACATAGTTACATCCCTGGGAAGAATATTTAGGGAAATATTTTAATTTCTAATTTGAAGGTATTTGTTAAATTAAGTGATCATAAGATTTTATTACCTAAGAGGGAGAGAGAAAGGATTTATTTCAGATTATAAATTCATATTGGGACATAACTTTCATGAGTGCTACTTTCCAACATATTGGTTACATATGTTAAATTTTTTTTTTCTACTGTAAATTTATTTCTATGTTGACCATTGTTTTATAACAGCTTTATTGGGATATAATTCACTATATTATAACTCATCTATTTAAAGTGTACAATTTTAGTACATTTGCAGAGTTATGCAAGAATACCACAGTCCCTTTTCTGACAGATGTTTAATACTGACTCCTTCCTTTTCTCTATGACACAGTTCAGGGTTTCTCAACCTTACGCTCTTGACCTTTGAAGCTGGATTATTGTCCTATGCACTATAGGATATTTAGTAGCATATCTGGCCTCTGTTTACTATGCAACTGTCACATCATCCCAGCCCCAGTTGTGAAAACAAAACAAAACAAAAAAATCCTCAGACATTGCAAAATGTCCTCAGGAGTGCAAATCATCCCTGGTTGAGAAATCACTGATGTAGATGAGGAATTTCCAAAAGTTGAACTTGTTCCCTGTGCTCCTGTTTTTTTAAATTTGTAATGACGAATTATAGCCACAACTCAGTCTATAACATGGCCTACTTCTAGGGGAATATAATCCTTCCTGGAATCCCTCTTGGACAGAATTTAAAGCAGCTCCCAGCTAGCTCTCATCACAAGTGTGGCGCAGACTTCATTTTCTTTTTATCCTGACCAGCTCTGCAGGTAGGGCCACTCAGCTGCTCACTCCTCTCTCTCTACCATTAGAGCTACTAACCTATGGGACTGTCCTATTTTTTTTCACCCTCTCCCCAACCAGGAATAAAACACTAGTCTACTAGGTTTCCTTAACTGCACCTTCTGTTATCTCCAGTGACCCCATTGAAGGGTAACTTTCTTGGCTTGTGGAGAATGGGAGAAACTCTTATCCCAGTGTTCTTGGTGGGCCTCAGCTTTAATCTCTTCAGAGAACTACTCTTTATAAATCTTTGTTTCATCTCTACTTTTCTCTTTACTTTCTTTCTTGTCTGGTACTGGGATTGAACCCAGGGGTGCTCTACCACTGAGCTACATCCCAGTGTTTTTAAAAGAAACTTATTTTGAGACATGGTCTAAGTTTCTGAGACAGGCCTTGAACTTGTAATCCTTCAACCTCATCCTTCCCAGTAGCTGGGATTATAGGTGACTGTAATTCCACAGTGACCTAGGTGAGGATAGGATATTCAAAAGTTATGAGCCAGTTTTCAGATAATTACTTTAATGTCTACAGAGTAATTGTCTCACAATTCATTCTGATATCTGATAACTAAATACCTTAGGGGCTAGAAAAACTGCTATTTTATTATCCTGTTCTTTGTTTAACAGTGTTATTTATTTATAGAGTACTTCATTGGATATGACGCAACCATTAAAAACTGGCCTATGAAGAAATGTTTGCAGCATGTATTGAAGAAAAGACTGTAAAGTCAGCTTTTACCTCATGATTTTAAAATTTAAAAAATCATACTCATAGACAAAGAAGACTAGAAAAATTTGTAGACCAGAAGAAAATAAACTTAAATATTATTTGTGATTATTTCTATACAACAGGACTGTTCTATTACTAGTATTTTTGTTTTCCCTGAATTTTCTACTGTAAGCATGCATTTATTTTTGAACAGAATAATATTAAAAAGATGTTACATGAAAATAAAATGGAACTTGTCTATATTCACATCCTCTTCCTCTTTTAATTTAAATATTTTAAAAACTCAGGTCCAAGCTTCCAGGACATTTTATCTATTTCCTCTTATTTTCTCTCTTCTCTCTTCTCTCTTCTCTCTTCTCTCTTCTCTCTCTCTCTCTCTCTCTCTCTCTTTGGCAGGGAGGTGTACTAGGGATTGAACTCAGGTACACTTAACCACTGAGCCACATCCTCAGCCCTATTTTGTATTTTATTTAGAGACAAGGTCTCACTGAGTTGTTTAGTACCTCTTTTTGGCTGAGGCTGGCTTTGAATTCAAGATCCTCCTGCCTTAGCTTCCAGAGCTGCTGGGATTACATGCGTGCACCACCACACCAGCTTCTATTTCTTCTTTATAAGGCTTCTCAGTACCTCAACAACAAAGTGCAAACTGTTTAGCATGGTATTCCAGGCTTTTATCAGCCTGGTCTTCTGCATGTCATCTGCCTCTTTGTTCTCTGTCCATATGCCCACCTGGTTCTTTTGTGTTGTGTTATATATTTTTGAAGGGAGAATTTTGGAAGGAGAGGAAAATGGATTTACTGATTATTAATTCTATGAATATTTCTGCAGCAGGAGCCGCAGAAGTAGTCAGCTATGGAAAAGTGTCTTTTGAATATTCCATCTATTGAGGGACACCTAGTTATAGTTTAGCTATTGTGAACTGAACTGCTATAAACATTGATTACTGTAGTATCCTGATTTTAAGTCCTTTGGGTATAAACTGAGGAGTGGGATAGCTGGGTCAAATGGTGATTCCATTCCCAGTTTTCTGAGGAATCTCCATACTGCTTTCCATAGTGGTTGCACCAATTTTTAGTCCCACCAGCAATGTAAGAGTGTACCTTTTTCTCCACAGCCTTGCCAACATTTATTGTTGCCTGTATTCTTGACACTTGCCAATCTGACAGGAGTGAGATGAAATCTTAGTGTGGTTTTGATTTGCATTTCTCTAATTGCTAGAGGTGTTGAATACTTTTTCATATATTTGTTGATCAATTGTACTTCTTCTGTGAAGTGTCTGTTCAGTTCCTTTCCATTTATTGATTGAGTTATTTGGTTTTTTTTTTTTTTTTGGTGTTAAGTTTTTTGAGTTCTTTATAGATCCTAGAGATTAATGTTTTATCAGAGGTGCATGTGGTAAAAATTTCTCCCAATCTGTAGGCTCTCTCCTCATAGTATTGTTTCCTTTTCTGAGAAGAAGCCTTTTAATTTAAATCCATTCCATTTATTGATTCTTGATTTTACTTCATGCACTTTAGGCGTCTTGTTAAGGAAGTCAGATTCTAGGCTGACATGGTGAAGATTTGGGCCTATTTTTTCTTTCATTAGGTGCAGGGTCTCTGTTCTAGTGTCTAAGTCTTTGATCCATTTTGAGTTGATTTTTGTGCAGGGTGAGAGTTAGAGATTTAATTTCATTTTGCTACATATGGATTTCCAGTTTTGCCAGCACCATTTGTTGAATAGGCTATCTTTTTTCCAGTGAATGTTTTGGCACCTTTGTATGACATAACTGTATTTAAGTGGGTTTGTTTCTGTGTCCTCTATTCTGTACCACTGATCTATAACTCTATGTTGATGCCAATACTATGCCATTTTTGTTACTATACCTCTGTAATACAGTTTAAGGTCTGATATTGTGAAGCCTCCTGCTTGACTTTTCTTTCTAAGAATTGCTTTAGCTAGTCTGGGTCTCTTATTTTTCCAAATAAATTTTATGATTGCTTTTTCTATTTTTATGAAGGATGTCATTGGGATTTTAATAGGAATTGCATTAAATATGTATAACACTTTGGTTAGTATGGCCATTTTGACAATATTAATTTTTGCCTATCCAGGAGCATGGAGATCTTTTCATTTTCTGAGGTTTTCTTCAATTTCTTTTTTTAGTGTTCTGTAGTTTTCATTGTAGAGAACTTTCACCTCTTTTGTTAGATTGATTCCCAGGTATTTTATTTTTATTTTTTGAGGCTATTATGAATGGGGTAGTTTTCCTAATTTCTCTTTCAGTGGATTCATCACTGATATTAGGAATGTGTTTGATTTATGGGTGTTGATTTTATATCCTGCTAGTTTGCTGACTTCATTTATTAGTTCTAGAAGTTTTCTGGTGGAATATCTTGGATATTCTAGATATAGAATCATGTCATCAGCAAATAGTGATCATTTGAGTTCTTCTTTACCTATTGTATCCCTTTATTTTCTTTCTTTTGTCTAATTGCTCTGGTTAGAGTTTCAAGGATGATGTTGAATAGAAGTGGTGAAAGAGGACATCCTTGTCTTGTTCCAGTTTTTAGCAGGAATGCTTTCAATGTGTCTCCATTTAGAATGATGCTGGCCTTGGGTTTAGCATAGATAGCTTTTACAATGTTGAGGTGTGTTCCTACTATGCCTACTTTTTCTAGTGTTTTGAACATGAATGTGTGTTATATTCTGTCAAATGCTTTTTCTTCATCTATGAGATGATTACATGATTCTTGTTTATAAGTCTATTAATATGTAAATTATGTTTATTGATTTCCATATGTTGAACCAATCCTGTATCCCTGGGATGAACCCCACTTGATCGTGGTGCACTATCTTTTTGATATGTTTTTGTATACAATTTGTCAGAATTTTATTGAGAATTTTTGCATCTATATTTATCAGGGATATCCGTCTGAAGTTTTCTTTCCTTGATGTGTCTTTGGTTTTGATAGTGATATTAGCCTCATAGAATGAGTTTGGAAGGGTTCCCTTCTTTTCTGTTTCATGGCCTACTTTGAGGAATATTGGTGTTAATTCTTCTTTGAGAGTCTTGTAGAACTTGGCTGAGAATACATCTGGTCCTGGGCTTTTCTTTGTTGGTAGGCTTTTGTTGGCGTTTTTAAAATTTCATTACTTCAAACTGATCTGTTTAAATCGTGTATGACCTCCTCGTTCAGTTTGGATAGGTCATATGTCTCTAGACATTTGTTGATGTCTTCAATATTTTCTATTTTATTTGAGTATCATCATTGTATTTTTATTTATTTTTTTTATTCTCAGCCTTTCCAATACCTGTGCAAGCAATAATCTTATTAATTTTCCTTTCTTGGAAATGTCTAGAGCTATGTCTGATTTCCTGATTGACTGCTGAAATCACATAATCACATATGCTTGTTCCATTAGTCAGAATTCCAATGGAACATGTCTCACCCAATTGCAAGAGGATGTAAACTGGGTCCAGCTACAATTACAGAAGCAAATAACAGATATGAATGGGACATTTAGTTTTCTTCAGACTGCCCAATGAGGCACAGTAAGTTGCGAAACTAGCAATTAGGAGATCAAGAAAACAACAAGAAAGCAAGACAAAAAAAAAAAAAAAGACATATGACCTTAAAGAAAATACAGGAATATATAACCAAAAACCTAAAATAAGCTGATTTTTAAATTGGGCACTGATACACTTGTATTAAATTATCACTTGATGTCCTATAAATATAAACAGTCATTATGTCAATTAAAACCAAAATGAAATTTTAAAAATAAGTAAATTGAACATTGAGTGTGGCTCTAAATTTTCTGGAAGTTAAAGTCTATAAAGAAACATATTGCTATTTTTAAAAGTGTGTTGGATAGTTTAACATTTGTTCTATAATAAAAGAGCATTTATTCCACTGATCACTGTATGGTAAATATCGGTTTTTCTATTTTTATTTATTTATTTATTTTATGTTAGAGTCTGTAAACAAGTCAGGATGGCGCCTGGCAAATGTTAGAGTCTGTAAACAAGTTTGGATGGCGCCTGGCATTTTGCCAGAGGGAGTGGTTTGTGAAGTAACACCAGTGAGCCATTAAGTGTGGAGATTCCTTATTGGTTGACTGCTGTATAGAGTTTATGTTAATTAGATAAGCTGTGTGGAATGTATAAATACCCCTCCTGTCCTACATTAAATGGCTCCCACTCCTGCTGTATCAATCTACACAAGCTGCTGGTCACCCCCCCCCCCCCCCCCCCGTTATTTTGCTGCAGCCGGGCTGCGGCAGATGGTGGCCCATTACGGGGAGCCCCGGGACACTCGGGGGTAAGTGACGGAAAAAAAAAAGCTGCCCATCCATAGATAGGACGGGAGCAAATCTGCTCGTTTCTAAACACACAGGGCGAGAGAGAGAATGACCATTTTGGGAAAATGGAGAAGATTGATATAGTATGTTTGTGTCTTTTTTTTGTCTCCGTGTATTGTATTGTCTTTGTGATGAAAATATGGAAGGGGTGAGAAGTAAATTACTAAGGGAAGGAGGCACCCCAGTGGAACCAAGAATAGTTAGGGCATGTGTTGATAGAAGCCCAGGAACTCTAGTCAGAAAGGAAAAGAAAGTTCAAAAGAAGAAGGATTATCAGGAAAAAAGTTGCAGCAAAAGGCTATTACTGAATAATTTTCGTTACCGGTAGGTGTCTGAATTGGCGCGGCAGCTGCCACGTGCGCAAGCCGGTCTGGCGGCAGCTGGCTCTTCCCTGCCCCCCTGCCTGGGGAGCAGGATGCCACTGCGAGAGCCTAAATCCAAACCTGACCTGGAGGCACAGTCTCGGGGGGCTCTTGCTCCCTGTGCCCGGAAGCAGTTTGAGTCCAGGACTCTCCCCAGGGCCATCTGGGGCTGCCCGGGACACTGCAGGCGGAAGACGCCTGCTTCCCTGAAGTTTGATCATTTCCAAGGCCAGTAACTACAATGGTTCTCCCACACCTGGAAGCTAATAAGTAATGAGCGCCATTAAGGCCTATTTCAAATGTAAAAAAACAAACCTTGAGATAATGTACTAAATTGTTCAGAAGGTTGTTTTCTTAGTGCCTGCTGGAATACTACAGAATTTTCTTTAGCCATTCGGAGTTCCTGCCTTCGCCCCAGTGCCGGTGAAGACGAAGGTGGAAGAATTTCCAGTGTTGCTGAGAACCGGACGAGACTTTGGAGCAAGCTAGCTGCCTGCAGAACTTACCTGGACTGTGATTTACCTGGACTGTGAGTTAATC